GCACAGCCAGGTTCAGTGAGTCTAAGGGGGCGTGAAGGATGGAGGAAAGACGGACAAGAGAAGAAGGCTGGGGCTGGGTGGGAGGCTCCTCTCGGATGGAGAGACAGCGCCTCGGCCTGCAAGCCGAGTCTTTATTTTATCGGATTCCACGAGGCAAAGTAAGGGCGTGGTTACAATTCGTGGGTTTCGAATCCACTCAGTTACATGCACCTGGTCAAGCTTTGTTTCCTTGCTGCACCTCCGCAGCCCATACCACTCAGCCCCGCGGGACCACAGGTTCGGACCATAAGGGCAAGCTCACAGCCACAGCCTTTGGCCATCACTGTGCTGGGACTTGCCCGTGGCTTTGCCACAAGAGGACCTGCCCTCTCATCAGTCTGAGGCTTGAACCTGTCCGAACGCTGCAGCCGCTCTCACACCCCTGTCCCTGTAGAATCACCAGGGTCTACGGTCTCAGAAGCGCGGTGCCAGAGGGTGCCCGCCGCCCGGGCCCGTCCACCCAGAGCAGCCCGGCACACTGGGCCCTGTGGGCACTGCCCAAAGGCTCTGGGCGAAGCCTGGGTTGACACTGCCCAAGTGGACACACGAGTGACCCTCAAAGCCCTCTGACCTGTACCTGCCAAACCACAGAACAGAAAGCTCCCTCAAGAGGCCGGCTGGCCACACGGTCAGCACCCGCCTCCTGAAACAAAAGTGGGTGCATGAGGCCTCAGCAAATACACCGCCGCACCCCCCAGTGTTTACAGAACTCGGCTCCGTAGCAGGGGGGCCTCCCAGGATGCCCCTCTGGCCCAGCCGGCGTGGCTTAGTCGACCTATGAGCCAGAACATCATGGTTCGATTCCCAGTCAGGCACATGCCCAAGTTTTGGGCTTAATCCCCAGTATGGGGTGTGCAGGAGGCAGCCAATCAATGATGTTTCTCTCCCATTGATGTTTCTCTCTCTGTCCCTCTCCCTCCCTCTCTATAAAAATCAATCAAAACATATTTAAAAGCCCTAGCCGGTTTGGCTCGGTGGATAGAGCATCGGCCTGCGGACTGAAGGGTCCCAGGTTCAATTCTGGTCAAGGGCACATGCCTGGGTTGCAGGCTCGGTCCCCAGTGGAGGGCCTGCAGGAGGCAGCCAACCAATGATTCTCTCTCATCATTGATGTTTCTATCTCTCCCTCTTCCTCTCTAAAATCAATAAAAATAAATTTAAAAAAATATTTTTTAAAAAAATAGGATTTGAGCCCTAGTCAGTTTGGCTCAGTGGATAGAGCATGGCCACAGACTGAAAGTCCCAGGTTCGATTCCCAGTCAAGGACACATACCTGGGTTGCAGACTCCATCCCCAGCCGTGATCGGCCTGTTCGGGAGGCAGCCAATCGATGTTTCTCTCTGTGTGTCTCTCCCTCCTCCCTTGCACTCTCTCTAAATATCAATGGGAAAGATACCCTCTGGTGAGGATTAACAATAAACAAACAGGCCTGGCAATGAATGGCGTTACTGAGCGTGGCTCACGGGCACCAGGCAGGCCCCCTCAGGTGCACACATCCTCCGGAGACCGAGTGTCCACGGTTGCCGGGGCACCACGGCGACGGGGAGGAGCCGCACGTGGCAGTGAGGGCCGGCGGGGGCTCTGCTCCATGACCAGCTCCCACATTCACCACCTGCCACGGCTGCAGGAGCATCGGACTGGAGGCCAGCAGCTGTCGGCGCTCACGCCCACCGACCGTCCCAGCCCCACTTCCCCAGGAGGAGGCTGAGGCCCAGGAGGGAGCCGGCTGGCCCCAGGGCATGCTGGGAGCTTCTCTGGCATCTGATCCCGGGCCCTTTCTCATTGGGAAGCCGAGAAGCCCCCTCCCTCTGCCCCAAACGGGGTGCTCATCACATACGACAGGTTCACCGAAAAGTGCCCGTGGCCCACGGAGTGGCCCTCAGGCCAAGTGAAGGTACTGACTTTCCGTGGGGTTTCCCAGACGGTTTCTTTGTGTTTGTTTGTTTGTTTAGTGAATCCTCACTTGAGTATATTTTTCTATTGACTTTTAGGGAGAGGGAAAGAGAGAGGGACATCAATTGGGTGCCTCCTGCACGAGCCCTGACCAGGGCCGGGGCGGGGAGGAGCTTGCAACGAAGTACAGGTGTGCGCCCCCACCAGGTCATCCCCACAGGAGAAGGAACGCAGGTGTGCGCCCGCCACCAGGTCATCCTCACAGGAGAAGGGACGCAGGTGTGCGCCCGCCACCAGGTCATCCTCACAGGAGAAGGGACGCAGGTGTGCGCCCCCCACCAGGTCATCCTCACAGGAGAAGGGACGCAGGTGTGCGCCCGCCACCAGGTCATCCTCACAGGAGAAGGGACGCAGGTGTGCGCCCCCACCAGGTCATCCTCACAGGAGAAGGGACGCAGGTGGGCATCTGCCACCGGGCGCCCAGTGGGGGCGGGGACAGTGGCGCTCCTTTGGTGACCTGGGTCAGCTCTCCCTGCAGGGCCGCTGGCTCAGGGCCCCTGTCCCAGGGCGGAGGGGACGGGGTGCAGCTGGTCTTGGAGCAGGCGCCCTGGTCCCCCGAGGCAGCAGACAGGGCTCCAGGACCAAGGGCCAGGCCCCGAGCAGCGCTCCCCACGGAACCAGCTCACCGCGGGAAGCGGTGGGTCCCTTGGGCTCAGAGGTCAGTCGCTCAGGCCCTGGCGACTAGAGACGGGGAGACGCCTTCACACAGGGGCGGCCTGCGGTGCCAGGGCCGAGTTCTCAGACAGCTGTCACCCCACACTCCGTCCTCCACCCCACGGCGCACAGGACGAGGTCCCCAGGACCCAGGACCCTCCAAACGCCCCCGCGGGTGAAGGGGTACAGAGCAGGTGGCCTGGACCCGGACACTGGGGACCAGCCAGAGCTGCGTTACCATGCAAGGGGGTGGGGGGGGCGAGAGATGCCATTGGGATGGTGCATGCGCGCAGCGAGGCAGGGTCACGTGTGCACTCAACTGCGGGACACGCCTAATTGTCTCCGTGGGATCCGCCTGGGTCCACTCGTGTCCACGGAGGCTCGTGCGCCCCTCCCCCGCCGCGTGGAAGCCCTGCCCGTGTCCACGCTGAGCTGGGCTGAGGCTGTTGCATATGCAACCCTCGGGGGACAGGTGGGAAACAGAGGCAGGGCAGCGGGGTGGCAGGATGGCAGGCCCGCCTCGGCCAGGTCTCCACCTCCCGTGGGGGTTGCTTGGGGAATGAGAGACCCTAAGACCCTGGGGGACCCCTGCTTCCCCAGCCTCCCGAGTCCTCTCTCCCCCAAATCTGGTGGGACACAACGACCCAGAGCCCAACCGACAGACCCTCCTAGAGGCAGGGCCGGACCCCGTGTCAGTGAGTCCTCTCCCCCCGCCTGAGGCCACGGACAAGGACACGATGTCCTGTTGCTTTGGGGGCACTGCACATGAGCATTGGCTTGGGGCAGGAACCCCCCAGTTCTGACGTCCTCAGGGGAGACTGTGGCCCGGAGGAGCGGCCCACGGTCCGGAATGGTGTCCCGGTGTCAGCGCCGCCCCCACCGAGGTCCCCGAACCTCAGAAGCCGTGTGTCCCGCCCGCCGCTCCCTTCCTTCCCCGGCCATGTTCTGGGGCAGCTGGTTCTCATACGAGGCTCCTCCCTGGTGTTAGCCGTGTACACGCGTGTTGCTTAGGATGAGGTCACGCAGGGCACCTGGTCTGTGCAGCAGCACGTTCACTGCGCGAAACTAGAAAAAGTCAAAGGTGCAGTGGAGCCCATAGGGCAGTGGTTCTCAACCGTGGCTGCACATGAGAATCACATGGGCATCTTTTTAAAATCCTGATTTCTGGGCCTCATCCTCCGGAAATTCTGTTTCTTTGTGACGGGGCGGGGCCACAACATGAGTAACCAAGAAACAGAATTTCTGGAGGATGAGGCCCAGAAATCAGGATTTTAGAAAGATGCCCAGGTGATTCTAATGTGCGGCCAAGCTTGAGAACCACTGCCCTAGAATGACCCAAAGCCCAGCTCCGATGTGCCCCTCCAGCTGGGGTGCCTGGGCCGCGCTGGGGGCCCTCAGCGGGCAAGCACCAAGCCAGGGACTCCCACAGGCTCGAGCCACCTCGCTGAGCTGGGTGTGACGGGCCGGTGACGCTGCCGTGCGCCCCAGGAAATGTTCTAAAAGGGGGTGCCCGCCACTGTCTGAGCCCCTCTGGTCCCAGCAGGACAAGACAAGGAGCACCAGGCTCCCACCTACCGGCTGGCACCCAGGTCAGCAGTGTGGCTGCTGCTTGGACCCCAGAGCGTGGGGAGGGGGGGTGCGGGGGGTGGACAGGACAAGAGGGTGCCGCACGGATCCCAGCGGCCAGGGGGAGTCATGGGAGGCCCCGGGTCCCTCTGCAGAGTTCTAGAAACTTCGCTATTTTGGAGAATTAGGTCCCTCCAGACGCAGCTTCCGCCAGGCTGGTGGGTGGAAAGGAAGCGGGCGTCCTTTTCCCACCCGCCCAGTCAGCCCATCTGTCCCCCGAAGTCAGGACCCTTCCGTCTCTGCACTGCAGTCCCCAGGGGAGGGGCCCCCTGGCCAGGGACTGGGCACCGCAGGGGATGCCCAGACTTCGGCCCAGTGGCCGGCCCAGGAGGCGGGTCTGGTGCCCCGGGTCCTCCCTCCACTCGGCCCCCACAGACGCGCTGTCCCAGAGTCCTGCGGGTTCTCCTCGGTGCCTCTGTCCCGCAGCCAGCGAGAGCGCCCCGGCTCAGGGCCACCGCGCGCGGGCCGGGGCGCGGCCACGCTAGACACCGCGGAGCGCGAGCGCCGCTGCAGGTGGTCCGCACGGGCCGGCCGATCCCGCAACGCCACCCGGGGCGCAGGTTCCCCGAGCCCCGCTTTGCAGGGTCGCACCCCCCAGGAGCCCTGCAGCCGCAACTATCCGAACCGAGGGGCGGGCGCGGGCGGGCCGCGAGGGGGCGCTGCGGCGGCGGGGAGCGGTGGGCGCGGCTTGGGCCTCGGGGCGCCGTCCGCGCTATAAAGGGCGCCGCTCGCTCTCTCGCGCTCTTTCCGGGCGGCGGGGCGGCGGGGATGGCTGCGTCCGTGGCTGTTCCGCGCGGCCCGGGGTCCGCGGCCCCGGCGCACCCGCCTGCCGGTTTGGAGCCTCCGGGTGGCGCGCGCCGTGGAGAGGCGGCGGGGATGGTGAGGGAGCGGCGGGCGGGGGCCTGCGGACGCCTCGGAGCTTTGGGCCACGTGTTCTTGCTGAAGAAGGGGGGTCGGCGCCCCGGCTGGCGCGGGGTCTGGTGCCCGGTCGCCTGCGGTCCGGCGGCTCCCCGGCCGCGTGCCTCCTGGTCTTGCATCCGCCCCCACTGCGTGTGGCCTCGGTGACCGCTCCGGGGAGCTGCCTGCTGGCAGCCGAGCTCCGGGAGGGCGCCCTGGGCCCGGTGAGCCCACAGTCGGCGCTGGAGCAGCGGGGTCCCCGGTGCAGCTTGCAGATGAGGCCCTGCCGTGGGAGGCCTCGCTGGCCGCGGGCCGGGGGGGGGGGGGGCGTGGGCTGTCCGCGCGCGCACTGCCCCTAGAGGCGTTGCAGGTGTGGCTGCCGTGCCGCGCCTGCGTCATGAGGCGGCAGAGAGCAGAGAGGCTCGCCTACGCCCAGCGTCCTGGCCGTGGGCGCCTGGATGGTTGACGGCCTGACACGGGGCGCGCTCTGGGCTGCTGGCGGGGGGGCGGCCCGAGCCCGTGGGGTAAAAGGTCCTCGATTCTCCTAGGTCGCGGCTCCCCCCGATCGCGGCCCGCATGCGTCTGACGGCCGGAGGTAGGAGCCGGCGCAGGGCCGAGTGGGGAAGGTGAGTGGGGTTGGGGCCGCTCGGTGACGGTCTGAGCATTGCTTACTGCCACGTGGATAAGAATCGTGGCAGAGAAATTTTCCTTTGGGGGCAAAAAATGTCACCTAGCGACCCGATAATTCAAAGCCTTCAGTGGGTGTGAGTGTTGCGGGGTGTGGGTGGGTAGCTGCCCTGCCGCTTAATGCAAGTCTATGGCTGTGCACCCAACGCACCCGAAATCCTGCTAGAGGTTCCAGACGGTGCCACAGGCCAGGGGCACCTCGGGCGAGTGAGGCCTGACGTCCCCGAGGACTCGCTTCCCCGCCCGACACCCTCCCCTCGGTGTGGGGACCTCACTGGGAGGCCCCGAGGGGTGCAGCAGTCTGTAGGGCGGGCCCTCCTGGCTGCACGTGTTCCCCAGGCTCTTCAGACCCTGAACTGGGGGCCACAGTGGGCGGCCCGGTGCTTGCTTTCTGCTCTGGGTGCCTGCCTGGGGTCAGAAAGGCGCCAGTGGGGGGGTGGGGCGGCTGCCCTGCGGGTGCTGGACCTGCCGGCACCACAGACGCGGCTGCCTGCTGCACCTGTGACGCCCGGGCACAGAGGAAGTGGCTATTTCTACACTCATTGCTCAGAACCGTGGGCACTGAGAATGGTTTGTGGCCTGACATTCCTGGCGCGCCCGCCGGCTGGCGTTTGGAGTTCGTGTGTGGGACCTGTGCTCAGGCTTCCACTTGGGAACCGCGGGCGGGACCTCAGCGGGTGGGTGGGTGCAGGTGGCAGACGCAGTGGGGCTGGCGGCACAGGGCTCCTGCCTGGAGGGTTCAGAGGGCTGGGCGTGTGCGCTCCCTGTCCCTGGGTGGGCGGTCGGGAGCCACCTGGCACATGAGCACCCACACTAGCGACCCTGAGACAAGCAGAGAACTCAGGGAGCGGGAGGGGCTTGGTCAGTTAGGGGTGGGGGTGCCAGAGGTCGGCGCCCAGCATTTGCCTGTCTGAGTTGGGAGTCGGGCCCCACGTGGATGCCCTCAGTGGGCCGATGGTAACTGACCGTCCCAGCCAGGGCACTGGGGGGGGGGGGGGGTGGAGGTGTGACCCGCTGTCCTTGTCCTTTGCAGTTGAGAGCTCGGTGCTTGGCAGCCAGACAGGATGGGGCCACGTGCTCAAGGCAGAACCACCTGGTTCCAGTCTGGTGAGACGCTTTGTACCTTGTTTCCTAAAATATTTCCGTGTGAGAGTTGACCCGTGTGGCCCTCCCAGGACACGTGGCCCCCAGCAGCACACGTGTTGGGGGGCCGCGGTGGCCCTGGGGGAGGAAGGACTGGCTGGCAGTGCTGGGTGGGGGGGCTGGTGGTGAGGCCCCTTGACCTCTGGAGGCCGAGCTCCCTGCCTGCGCGGTGGTGCCGGTGGCCGAGGACAGCTCGCCCAGGAGCTCGGTCCTGTAGGACAGCGAGGACTCGTCCCCTCACCGGCCTGGGGGTCAGGAGCGGCCGGCGGTGATTTCTGAGGTGCAAGCTCTGGCTGCTGGCAGGTGGCCGAGTCCTCACAACACCTGGCTCCCCGAAAGCCTTGTGGCCCTAGTGGGGTGCGGGGGCTTCTGGGAGATGGCAGCACGTGTGTTGTTGCCCTCGATCTCTGTGGCCCCGGGTCCAGGTTTGGGAGGGAGGGAGCATCTGTTCTTGCTGCCCCGGGGGGGGGGGGGGGGGGGGGGGTTGGTGAGCTGAGGGTGATGGCCCAGCCTGGGCGCGCTGCAGCGTCCTCAGGATCCGCCGGTTTTCTTTCTACAGATGGGGCTCCTGTGGACCAGCCCGGCGCCACCTCTGGTGGAGAGCAGAGCGCGTGGAACAGGCTGCCTGGCTCACATCACAGCAGACGGACAGACAGATGCACCTTGTGCTGCTGGTGGCAGCACCTCCTGCGGGCGGGGCTGGGCGCCTTGGCAGAAGCGCAGGCGGGTGGAGTCGTTTGTGCCGGATGCTGGGGAGGCAGCAGATGCACCGCTGGCCGCTGTTGCTGGGGACAGCCATTCACATGTTCCGAGGGGCAAGGTGCCAGGTGACCCTGCAATTACATGCGTGTGTCCAGGTTCTTGAATAAAGGAAACCATGTTTGTTCACTGACTGTGCGCGTTGATCCAGGGAACGGAGGAGACTCCCCGGGCGTGGTGGTCGTTCCACGGTGCAGTGTTGGGGGCGTCACTTGGTTTTAAGCTGCCCTGTGTGATGGTCTCCAGCATGAATGAGGCCCACTGTGGCGAGGGGACTCGTTGCCCGTTTTAAATGAAGTGTCACCTCGTGCCTGTGGGAGGACACGGAGGACGGGCTGCCCGTGCCCGTACCAGTTGGGAGGGGGCGGGGACAGTGTCGTGTGGTGCTCGCCATAGGTGACACCAGACAAGCTTGTTGGTGGACTCACTCAGGAAGTGGGTCATGGGAGAGGCGGCTCCCTGGGCTTCACGGGAGCCTGTGGCCGCTGCCCCTTCAGCCCTGTGTCCCCTCCAGGGAGCCTGTGGGTCCAGAGGGGCAAGTCGGCCGCCAGGCCGCTCATGGTTCCTGGTGGCCAGGGCACTGCAGTGTCTGCGCCTGAGGGACTTGACCCTCAGGCCGGGTCCTCCAGACTTCAGGCATCAAAGCATCGACAGGGCTGCCCGGGGAAGGTTCTCGCCTCCTGTACAGCCCGGGACCGGCAGCTGGGGGTCCTGCTCAAAGCCTGTCCCCTCCTGCCCAGTCCTGTGCCGCTTCCTGGCCTGACACGGGGTGGAGACGGCACTGTGTTGGGAACCTGGCCGGGCGAGCAGCCTTCCTCTGACCCCAGTGGTGTCTGGGAGGGTCTCTGTAGTGACCCTGCCCGAGCTGCTTGGGGTAGAGGGTCTTTCACCGGGAGCGCCCGTGGCTGCACACACTTCCCTGGGCACGTGTCCAGCAGGCCCACTTGTCCTTGTGCCGGCCTGGCTGCTCTGCTCTGAGGGGGCACCTCCAGCACCCTGGTGTCACCAGGGGTCCCCGTGTCACTGGGGTTACGTTCTCACCCTAAACATAACGGACACACGAGAGGTCACTGCCAAATAGGGTAACTTTTCAGGCACTCAGGACACCTTTTTCTGGGTTTTTTCATACCTCTAGGCCAGTGGTCAGCAAACTCATTAGTCAACAGCGCCAAATATCCACAGTACTTCTTCAAAACAGACTCTCCCAGGCCGAAAACCAACTTCTGCGCCTGGGCCGTACGTGCACCCACACCCGCACGTGGTATTTTGTGGAAGAGCCACACTCAGGGGGCCACAGAGCCACATGTGGCTCGCGAGCCAGTTTGCCGACCACGGCTCCAGGCTGTGGTTTGGCTGTTTTCTTAAACTTGCAAAATCACAATTTCCAATACAGCCTATTGAGGGGAATCCACAGCTAGCCCCGCCAGTGGCTCAGTGGCTGCGCGTCCACCTACGACCCAGGAGGCCAGGGGCAGAGTCCCAGTCGGGACACATGCCCGGGCCGCAGGCTTGATCCCCAGCTGGGGAGATCAATGATTCTCACTGGTTTCGATCTCCCGCTCTGAAATCAATAAACATATTAACACTTAAAATTCCACATCTAAGTGGCCCCACATTAAGGCAGCGGTTCCCAACCTTCTGGCCCTTTAAATACAGTTCCTCATGTTGTGACCCAACCATAACATTATTTTCGTTGCTACTTCATAACTAATGTTGCTGCTGTTATGAATCGTCATGTAAATATCTGATATGCAGGAGGGTCTTAGGCGACCCCTGTGAAAGGGTCTTTCGACCGCCAAAGGGGTCGCGACCCACAGGTTGAGAACCGCTGCTTTAAGGCGAGCGGAGCTTCTAACTGCCCAGAACGCAGTCCTACACGTGGACTGCACCCCAACGGGGATCCGCGGGCAATCGTTACACCGGTGTCTGAGGAGGAGGCGGGAGGGTGAGCGCTAGGAACACGGGTGTTAGCTGGGCCCGGGCCCCATTCAGGTGGGGGCTGGACCAATCAGGAAGGTCCGCCTCCAGCATCCTGTCACCCCCTCATCCCAGATAACTACCCAGGGCTGGCTCTAGGAGTGGGGCCAGGCAGACTCCGCCCCTGAGGCCTCTGGTAGCCGTGACCCTGAACTGGAGTGCTCTGTGCAGGAGGCGAGGGCAGGCCCAGGCGGCCAGGGGTGGTCTGGGCGGCAGGGGGCCTGGTCCAGGGCACAGTGAGGGGAACAGCACTCACAGAAAAGCTATTTATTTACATCCGATGATCTTGAAAGTAACAAAACCCAACTCAGCCTGGGCGGGTCGCCTTGGCCAGCCCTTGGTAGGTTCCAGGTCCTCCTTCCTGCCTCCCCTTCCAGCCCCTCCTTCCTGCTCAACAGTCCTTCCATCTGGGCTGCTGGACCCTGGGGAAGGGCGGGACGGGGAGGGGGCCCCTGGTCACAGGACCCCTGGGCTGGACACAACAGCCCGGCCCAGCCCCTGCAGCCTCGCCTTTGCCCATGACGGGCGAGGAGGGAGGAGGCTCGGGGCCAGGGCGGCTGAAGGCCCGGGCGGGGGACGGGCAGTCCTGTCCGGCAGTCCCGGCGGGAGCCCCGCGGGCGCGTGGGCGGCCGTCAGGAGTACTTGGTGTTGGAGATGGTCTTCCAAAGCAGCGTCTTGAGGTGGCTGAGCACCAGCGAGTGGTGCGCCTCCACCTGGCTGGCCAGCCCGCTGAGCGTGGTGCAGGTGCGCAGCTGCCGGCCCAGCTCCGCGCGCAGCTCGCGGGGGGCACCGGGCAGCAGGTAGTCCCGCAGCAGCTCGCACACCTTGGCCAGGTTGGGCTGCAGGAGGTCGCCCTTGCACTGCCGCAGGAGCTGGTCGCAGGGGGCCCTGCAGTCGCGCCCGTAGGTGCAGTCGGTGCTGTGCTCGCAGCGGCGGCCGCGCAGGAAGCGGCGCACGGCGGCCTCGGGCGCCACCTGCTGCAGGTCGGCCATCCGGAAGTCGTACGTGGCCGTGTAGCCCACGTTGGCCAGCGTGGTCTCGCACATGTAGAAGGTCCCGTAGGCGCCGTGGAACAGCTCCTCCACGAACTCCAGCAGGCCGATGGCCACCTTGGCGCGCCAGGGCCACGGGGGCCCCAGCCACTGCTGCAGGGCCTGGTGCAGGGCGGGGGGCAGCAGCGGGCGCAGCAGGGGCGCCGCCCCGTGCCAGGAGCCGGGCGGGACGCCCTCGGTGACGTACAGGTCCCCGCAGAAGCCCAGCAGCCGGGCGGTGTGCTCCTTGTCCTGCAGCGACAGCAGCAGCAGGAACTCGTTGCGCTGCAGCAGGGCCCACACCGACTTGGCCTCGGCCAGCGACACCCGGCTGTCCTGGTTGAAGTCGGCCAGGAGCAGGACCTTCCCCACCAGCGCGGGCAGCGAGGGCAGGTCTCCCAGGTTTGCCTGAAGTTTGGGGCCAAACGAAAGGGGGACAGTGGTTCAGAGCCAGGGTGTGGCTAAGGTGGCAGGACGCCGGCCTTGGTGTGGGTGCCAGGCCCTCAGGTGCCCCGGTGCTGGCCGGTGGGCTGCACCCAGGACCCAGCACATCCAACAGCTTAGAGGAGCCCAGCCTCCAACTGCCGCCTCCTGGAAGCCCACCCTGACTGCCCACCCACCAGCATCTCTTGGAGCTGCTCTGAGGACTGTGTCCCCGTGTCTCCATCAGGGCTCAGGGGCTGGGGGGTGGGCGCCTCAGCACGGAGGTGAGAGCCTGCTGGGCAGGGCCAGTCGCTTCTCTCCTGCTCTCACCCCACCTCCCGTGCACACCCAGCTAGCCCTGCTCTCCCTACTGACACCCTGGGAGCAGGGTGCTCCCTGCCTCGTGGGCGAGCCTGATGCTTGGAGCTGGGGCCCAGCCAGAAGCCTGACCCCCGGAAGGCCCCACCAGGCCTGCCTCCTGCTCTGTGCACACGCCCCTGGGCATGGACTGGACGCAGCCCCCCGAGAGCCGCTGACCTTGAGGAAGCTGAGGGTCATCTCCCGGAACTCTTGGATGGAGGTGCCCCGTGCGGGCTTGTCAAACAGCACCAGCTCCCGCCGGGGCGCCGCCTCCGACGCCTCCTCGGCGCCACACTTGATGGTCACCTCCTTGCCCTGCCAGAGCCCGCTGTACACCTGGGTGGGCGCAGGGGTCCCCATGTAGAAGTCCCCCTCCCGCTGCACCCAGGCCTCTGAGCCAGGCCCCCCGACCGCGGGGGAGGCCTCCCGGCCCGGCCCTGGCCTGGCCGCCCCGGGCTCACCTGCTGGCTGGGCACAGAGGACAGGCAGGTCCGCCACTCCACCTTGTGCAGCTGGCACAGGTCCTGGCACAGGGAGCCCGAGATGATGCCCTTGTGGTACTGGTCACACTAGGAGGAGGACAGGCTGGGAAGTGGCCTGGGAGACGGGGCTCAGGGGCTCCAACGCTGGCCGCCCCGAGCCCCCCCTTTACATGCTGTACCCCTGGGCGGTGGCCGAAGCCCTCATCACGTCTGCCAGGGCCCCTGGCTCCTGGGCCACATGCTCCTCAGAGGGCCCCAATGCTGGCGCCTGCCCAGCTCACTGCGCTCTCCGCACTGAGCTCTCCGTCTGTCCCTGCACCATCCCTCGGTCCCGGAGACACCGGCTTCTCCTGGCTCAGTTGCTGAGCAAGCAGCCAGGCCGGGACAGACACGCACCCTCACCGCTGCCCAGGTGCCCGGTTAGAGCCCACAGCCAGCGGGCACGTGCCAGCTGGGTAAGTGATGCAGTCCGGCTGCCTCCCCCTCCTGAGGCAGGCAGGCTCCCCCAGCGCCTCTCTGGACTGTCTGTCCCCTGCAGCCCCTCCCACCCCCACCACCCATCAGCCAGAGGCACAGCGGGGAGCTCTCAGCAGCCATCCTGTCGGCTCCAGAGTAGCTGCTGGGCAGGAACAGGGCGGGGGGGTGAGGGAGCCGAGCCGGCCCTTCCCTCTGCAGGGACCGGAGTGGATTCTGAGGTGCCCTCGGTTGCCATGGAGCCCAGGCCTGGCCAGCCGGGCCCGGAGGAGGCAGAGGCAAGGGAGCACAGCGCCATCCATTCGGGGAGGAGGGAGGACGGGACAAAACCAGGCTGAGGCCTGGGCTCCATGTGAGGGCGGCGTCGGCTGTGGCAGCCCCGACGGGGAAGGGAAAACAGAAAATCCAAAACCGCACCCCCCACCCCCAGGAGGGAGGCCCCCACCCCAAGGGGTCTGCTCTGCAGCAAACCCCAGGGTGGCCGCCAGGGACCGTGGGCGGCAGGCTGCTCTGAGAGGCGCCGCCAGGGCGGGCGGGCGGGCGGGCACGGAGGCTGCGGTGGGCGGTGTGTCCTCGAGGCCCGTTTCCCGTCTGCAGTCTGGGCCGCGCTGGGGAGGCGGAGAGCAGCACCCCATCCTTGAGCCCGGGGCCTGCCCTCCGGGTGTGGCCTGGACGAGCTGCGGAGGCTCTGAGGCAGCTGGGGGCCCTCAAGGTCACCAGCATCTGCCCGTTCCCGTCTCCCTCCCAAACCTCTGGAGTCCGCCCTTCTGTCCATCCCTGGCACCAGCCGTGCCCCCCTGGGTGCCTGCAGGGCGCCCCCAGCCCAGCCCTCCTCCCACCACCCCATCTCCTCCTCCGCCAGCCGGAGGGTCCCTCCTAAACCCACTTCAGGGCCTCAGAGGACGGCGGGTCCCTGCCTGGCCCGCCCAGGCCGCACGGGGAGGGACGGAGCCCACGCCCGGCCCACGGGGACACTTACGATGACCGCCTGGCACACGTGCCCGCGGCAGAGTTCCGTGTAGGACGAGTAGTTCACGTACGCCAGCCAGCTGCCCGCAAAGACGCCCAGCCAGACCAGAAAGACGTACTTGACCCTGAGGCCCGGGAGCCGGCCCTGCTGTGGGAGGGAACACGGGGGAAGCGCCACGTTTGGGGGTGTCACCCCCTCTCAGACCCCAGCCTTCCGTGGGCCCCCTGCCCCAGCACCAGCACTGCACGGCCCAGGGACGCCCGGGGGCCTCCCCACCTTCCCACCCCTCGGCTCACACACTCGGAGGTGGGGGCAGGTGCCCAGGCTGTGGCTGTAAATACATGGGCAGCCCGGCCAGCACGGCTCAGTGGGTGAACGTCCACCTGTGAACCTGGAGGTCACGGTTCGATTTCGGGTCGGACATGCCCGGGTGCGGGCTCGATCCCCAGTAGGGGGCGTGCAGGAGGCAGGAAGGGAGAGGGAGAGATGGAAACACCAATGATGAGAATCACTGATCCACTGCCTCCTGCACGGCCCCCACTGGGGATCAAACCCGCACCCCGGGCCTGTGCCCTGACCCGAAATCGAACCGTGACCTCCAGGTTCACAGGTCGACGTTCAACCACTGAGCCACCCGGCCAGGCAATAAAAATACATTTTAAATAAACACACGGGCAGGTAGAAAATCAGTTTCAAAACGGGGGCAGAGGGGAGTCAGCTCTGTACTTTGCCGAATAAAGTGGTTTTACACATCTCCCTCCTGTCTTGCCCTCATTTCGTAGCGACCTCTGATGAGAGTGGGCGGAGAACGCCGGGCAGGCGCCGGCCTCCAGCGGGGGGAGAGTTCCCGCTGGGCCCCGGAGGCCGCTGGGGCAGAGGGCAGAGGGCAGAGGGCAGGGCCCCGGCCGCACAGTCGGCCGAGCCTTGGAGCCCGGGCCTCCCACACCCACACTCCCGGCAGCCAAAGGGGGCACAGCCCAGGGCCACTGCCAGGCGACCGGACTCGGCGGGCGCTCCAGGCGGGAGTCTCCCCGCCTCGGGAAGGAGGGGTCCTGACGCCCGCCCGCCCGCCCGCCCGCCGCGATGGACCCTGCAGGCCTGACGCTCCGCGGAGGACACCAGGCACAGCCGGCCGGAGTGGCCGTGGCTGACCACCGACCGGTGAACCAGGTCACTGGTCCGATTCCCGATGGGGCTCAGCCTGGGTTGCGGGCTCATCCCCAGTAGGGGGCGTGCAGGAGGCCGCCTACTGATGCTTTTCTTTTCTTTTCTCTTTTTAAAAATATGTTTCCATTGATTTTGAGAGAGAGGAAGGGAGAAGGAGAGAGAGACGAAAAATGATGAGAGAGAAGCATCATCGATAGCCAGCCTGTCCTCAGAGGAGGCACCATGGCCGGCACTGGCCACGCCCCCCAACCCTGCAGCCTGGGCGCCTCGGGGGACACTGAGGAGCAGCGGGCGGGGCCTGGGGCCCCTGGAGCCGGTGAGGAGGTTGGGCCTGAGGCCACTTGTCCCTGCCCCGCGCCTGTTTCCGTCAGATTTGTTCACAAGGAAAAACAGGAAAGCGAGGGGGGGGGGGGCAAGCAGCTGGGGGTGTTGTGGCTGTGGGGGTACTTCCCACTGGGCGGGGCCTGGGTGGGCTTTCAGCACCGGGGTCCTGGGGGCAGGAGGGCAGGCTGGACCCGCGGGTGGGGGTGGGGTGGGGGGCGACCAGGCGTCACAGAGCCATTGCAGGAGCCTGCAGGGGCCCGCACAGCCCTCTCCCCACCCCAGCCCTCCAGGCGCCAGGTCCCTCCAGGGCGCTGACCCCTCTGGCCGACTAGGGCTGAACCCCAGGTCCTCATCTCCCGTGGGCCCTTCCGCCAGGAGCAGCCCGACCCCCTCCTCCTGCCCCGAGGGAGCCCTGGGCGGGGCAGGCCTCCCTCCTGTGCAGGAGCCTGGAGGGGGGAGGGTGCTGGGTGCTGGGGGACAGGCCAGCACCATGACTGCGCCCACAGGTGGCTCCCCACACGCACTGCCCACCCGGGCGGGCCTGACACTGAGGGCGGCGGAGCGGGCTCAGACCAGGGGGCCCCTGGGTCCCTCCCGCTGCAGCCGCTGTGCCCCCCCACTCTGCAGGGCTGGGCCGCCCCTTCCATCAGGGCTGGGGCCAGAGCATGGGGAGGTGGGTGGGGGCTCCCCACGGGCCCTGGCGGGCACAGGGCGTCTGGCAGACACGTCACCCACATGGCCCGGGGCTCCCAGTCTCCCCGGAGCGGAGCAGCTCAGGGGGGCCCTGGGCCAAGGAGGCCACCCCGGGGCAGCCTCCTGCTGGGACCCAAAGGCTCGGACCGGGCCGACCTGCAGGCCTGGGTCACAGACGTGCCTGGAGCGCTCGGCTCCGCCTCGGGCCTGGCTCGGACCGCCCCCCCACCCCCCCGCCCCGCGGGGGGGACCCCCCCCCCCCCCCCCCCGCAGCCAGCGCCCAAGGCACCGGGCTCCCTGCAGACGGAGGGCCTGGCGAGGACAGGCCTTGGCAAGGTCAACCCGGGGTCAGGCGCCCCCTAAACGCCCGCGGGGTGCCTGGGGGAGGTGGGGGAGGTCCCTCTTGGGGCGTTTCTGCGCCCCGAGTTCCCGCTGCAGAGCGAGCCTTGTCTTTCGCTGGCGGACAGAGGAGCGGTTCTGGGCCTCGGGGAGCGGGTCCTGCGGCCCCACCACGCGGCTCGGCCCCCCGCCGCCCGGCCCCTCCCCCGCCCGGCGCATCCCGGCCCCGGCGCCCGGCGGCCACGCACCCGGCGTCCTGAACCCGACCCCGCTCCCACCCGCTCCCGCTGGACCCCACGCGCGGCCTCCGCCCAGCACCGAGGCGGGGGGCGGGGGGCGGGGGGCGCCTACCTGCGGGCCCCGGGCGAAGGGGCGGAGGAGCACCAGGTGCGCCAGGCGCCGCAGCCGCCGCATGGTGGGCGCCCGGGCTCGGCTCCCCCGCTGCCCCGCGGGCCGGTCCGCAACGGCCGCGCTCCTGCCGCCGCGCGCGCTCTCCCGCCGCCTTCTCGCGAGGGCGCGCTCCTCCGCGGAGACGGGGGCGGGGGGCGCTGCTCGGGGACGCGGGGGGAGGGGGCAGGAGGCGGTGGCAGAGCGGGGGGAGGGAGGGGGAGGGGCGGGGACAGGAGGGCGGGGAGGGGATGCTCAGGGGCGGGGGGAGGAACGGGGACCCGAGAGGAGGGCGGGCGCCGCAGCGGGGAGCCGGTCCGGGTGGAGGTGCCCGCACCCCCCGCCGCGCGCCCCCAGCCCGGAGCCTCCCGCACACCCGGGGGCGGGGCGGCCTCCTTCAGGCCCTGCGGCGGGTCCGGGGCGGGGAGCCCGGCGCTGTGGGGACAGGTCCCGAGTGGGGCTTCCTCCGTGTCTTAGAGGACAAGTCCCCGCACCGTTCCCCGCGCAGCCGTGGGCGCTCGCACCGGAGGCGCCTGGGCAGAGCCCTGAGCAGCCCGCCCCTGCCCCGCGGCCTGGGCACCTGGGCACCGACGCTGGGCGCCCAGCCCCTCACCCTGGGGGGTGCCACTGGTTCCAGAGGCGCAGCCGAGCCCTGTCCCTCCGCGGCGGGAGCCCGGGTCCTGGGTGCGATCGGCCCTGAGTCCAGCGTGTCCCCCAGGCCCGTCCCCGCCGCCCCGCCCTGGCCTTCCCCGGGCTGCGGGGCAGCTGCCCGTGCGCCTTGGGGCAAAGGGTGCCTTCCCTCCTCTCCTCGGCGCTGGCTCCTGGCTCTCGAGCTGAGCTGCGAGGTGCTTTCTGTCCCCTGATGCGAGTCCACACCCCACAGGGGATCGGGAAGGTTTTCTCCAGGCCTCTGGGCTGTCGCTTCCGTTTTCTCTTTATTGATCTCAGAGACGAAGGGAGAGGGAGAGAGAAACGTCCATGATGAGAGAACCATGGATCGCTGCCTCCGCTCGCCCCTCACTGGGGATGGAGCCCCACCCCGGCCTGCGCCCGCGGGAACCAAGCCGGGAATCAGCGGCCGCCTTTCCCACCTCTCGGGGCAGGGAGACACCCGCCCACTGAGCCGCCCGCGGGCTCCTTCCCGGGCCTCCTGGAGCACAGGGTGTTCCTTTCTGAGCTGTCCCGGCGTCAGCGTCGTGTGTGTGACAGATCGAAGAAGGCTTGGCCTAACCCGGTCACAAAGGTTTTCTGACTGAGGCCCGCGACCCCCACACCTTGAATCACGTGGCCCACACTTGGACACCCCGTCCTCAACCGAGGGCACTGTCCTCAGGTCCAAGGCCACACTGGTCCCACAGGAGAAGCCACAGGGCCTCCAGGGGGAAGAAGGGCCTTTCTCAGGAGGGCGGGGTGGGGGGATCTGGAACATCCAAAAAATCTGGACAGCGTCCCTCCAGACAGCCCACCCGACAGAGGCCCCCTCTCTGGGCAGCCACATTCGGGGGCAAGCTGCCTGAGGGGACCAGGAGGAGGGGATGGGGAGTCAGAAATCTTTTTTTTTCTTTCTTATTGGGGGAGAGGGGTGTAGATCACAGAGGTAGGAAAAGTAATTCCTAGAAGAAACGGGCTTCGGAAACAAGTTATGGAAGGCCTGGGAGCTTGGGGGTGAGGCAGCTGATGGTAATGTGCCTGGGGCAGGGGGGAGGGATGGGGTAGGGGGGAGGTCTGGAGCCGGGACGGGGGAATGTGGAGAGCGGCTACAGGGTTTGGACAGGTTCAAGCCTCGGACTGATGAGAGGGCACAGTCCTCTCATGGCCACGTGCAAGTCCCAGCATGGAGGGCAGAGCCTTCCCAGCACAGTGATAGCCAACAGCTGTAGTTGTGAGCTTGAACCTGTGGTCTGAACACGTGGCCCCACGTGCCTGAGTGATGTGGGCTCGATAGAGTTCAGGTGCATGTAACTGAGTAGGATCGAAACCCCGAGAACGTTGTAAACATCTTGACCACGCCCTGACTTTGCCTCGTGGCATCTGCTATAAAATAAAGACACGGCTTGTGGTCCCTGGTGCTGTCTCTCCATCTGGGAGCAGCGTCCCACCCAGACCCAGCTTTCTTCTCTTGCCTGTCTTTTCTCCATCCTTCACCGCCCCCTCTCAGGGTCACTGAACCGGGCTGAGCTGGCACGGGCGGCACATCAGGCGCCCTGGGGCTGAGCATGCCCTGGCCGTGCTGGCTCGACACAGGGGAAGGCCTGGGGCCGAGATGGGGGGAAGGCCTGGGGGGGAGGCCTGGGGGGGAGGCCTGGGGCTGGGAGGTGGGGAAGGAAAGTGGGGGGGGGGGACGACTGCTGGAGGCCTGGCCCAGCTCAGGAGGGAGAGTCAGAAATCAGCCCGGGGCCTGTGGGCAGTGGGAGGTGAGGGCGGGCCCTACGGCTTGGCCCCCGGCCCATGATGGGGAGGCTTTTGCAACCAAAGAGGCACCAGACCACCCCTTAGCCTCAGGGGCCAGGAGACGGCGCCCAGGGCGGCAGGAGGCGTGGGGTGCAGCCCACGGCCCGAGAGGCGCTCACAGTCCCAGGCAGGCAGCTCGCCAGGAGCCAGGTCAATGCCGGGCCGGGCCCTCTCTACCCACATCCCAGGGTTCTGGGAGGACAGCCTGTGGGCAGACTGTCCCCCTCACTGCAGCCCAGGAGTCCGAACCCCAAACTAGGGGCTGATGCCAGGAGAAGCGGGGTTTCTCCTTCGTGCAGCTGAGTGTGAGCCTCCGAAGCTATGGGAACGCGAAGTCCTTCCACCTGGCCGCCCGGGCCCTGCACACAGCCCTGCGCCCCAGCATCACCCCACACTGCGCCCAGCATCACCCCACGCTGCGCCCAGCATCACCCCACACTGCTCCCAGCATCACCCCACACTGCGCCCCAGCATCACCCCACACTGCTCCCAGCAGCGGGGAAGCAAAGAAGGACCTGGAAACGCCAGCCTCTGCTGCTCACACCCCACTGGCCTGCGCTTAGCCACATGACCTGACTTGCTGCGAAGAAGGCGGGGAAACTAGTCTTTTCTGAGCAGCCACACGTCCAGGTAAACTCCAGGGTCCGGCACCCTCAGCCTCGGGCACAAGTATGTGCAGGAGAAACGGCGACGCAGGCCCCGGGCACACTGCCCTTCCAGACGCAGCCCAGCCCACTGCCCCACCCTGATGACCTCTAGACTGAGGTCAGAGGTCACCCAGTTCCCTGCAGGCAGGTGTTCAGGGAGGCGTGGCTCAGTGGTTGAGCCTTGACCTATGAACCAGGAGGTCAGGATTCGATTGGGAAGTCAGGGCACAGGCCTGGGTTGCAGACTCGATCCCCAGTAGGGGGCGAGCGGGAGGCAGCAAATCAATGATTCTCATCATTGATGTTTCTATCTCCCTCTCCCTTCCTCTCTCTGAAATCAATAAAAATTTGTTTTGTTTTAAAAAGGGGGAAAGAAAAGAATGGGGAACCCACCTGTGGCGGGGACGCCTTCAGCCCCAGGCCAGGCCTGGGAGGGTGATATTTGCATTTCGACCCAAAGGATGGGGGGGGGGTGGGGCGGGGAGGCACGCAGCTCCAGGCAGAGGGGCCGAGTGCGCAGAGGCCACAGCCCGGCCCACGGGGACCCTGTGTTTTGTACAGTGAATGTCGGTATGTGCAGGTCCTCACCCCGGAGTCTGGACGAGCCCGAAATAGGACGTGAGCCATTGTTCCGATTTGTGTCCACAGGCCTAACCCAGGGCCAGCCGCCCCCTCCTGCAGGCTCTGGAGGGTGGAAGCCCGTGGGGGGTGGGGGGAGAGGAGGCTGAGCGCAGGGAGAGGGCTGGGCAGCTTCCTCAGCCAGCCCTGCCGGCGTCCACGTCCTCCATCCTCCGGGCGGAGGCACAGGCAGCTGCCACCCAGGACGCTCGTCTGTGTGAACGGAGCCACGCACACAGCGGGACGGCACTCAGCGTGAGGGACTGGATTCTGACACACGCTGCAACACGCGCCCCTTAAGCTCCCAAACACGTTCAGTGAAGGAGGCAGACACAGAGGCGCGTGTTGTATGCTTCCCGTGTTGTATGCTTCCCGTGTTGTATGCTTCCCCGTGTTGTATGCTTCCCCGGATTTAAAACTTTCAGAAGAGAAAACTCTACACACACAAGTCAGGTGAGAGGTTGCCGGGGGCTGGGGAGGGTGGGGAGCGTTTGCAGGGTTTGGGGGTTCCTTTGGGGCGATGCACGTGTTCTGAACGACATGGGTTGATTGTATGTTCTATGAGACAAACAGCGATCAGATGGGCGAGAATAAAGAAACGTCTCCTGTACCCTCGCCACCCCGCTGATGCCCTCACTGGGGTCCGGGCCTTCCAGTGTTGAGCATTGCTATGATCCGTGAACACACGGTCACACACAGCCCGCGGCACACACGTGAGGGCCTGCGTGTCATGTATGTACATGGGTCACTTTTCTTTGATCGTGTTTCTCAGTAGAACTGGAGTCCTCAGCCCGGTCCTGGGGGCCACCGCTCTGAGCGGAGTTCTAACACCTTTCCTGCCGCTCACGAGCTTTCGCGTGTTTCTCGCGCCATCTGTTTGGACCGTAGATGCCAACACCCTGTCTGTCCACATCGAATGAAGCGATCTCATTGGTGGACACCATGCAGGTCAATCTACGAAAAACTATGTAATTGCACGAACCCATAACGCATTGCAGTTACATTGCATTTTGGTCATTCGAATAGTCTTCGCCTTCAAGTTCCTGGCGCTTTTGGAAAATGTTTTACGCAGTACCATACGTTAAAAAAGTACCAGGAACTTTAATTGTTTGTTTAATTGTTTTTGTAAATAAAAATGTTATAATTATTGAAAAACAGCACCTAAAGTGCATTATGATCTGTAGTTATGATGATTTAAATAACGTGCAGTTTGCCCAAAAACGTGTGGTCCCTGGCATATGTCTTAGAGATTTCTATGTGGTCCGAAAGGTGTTAAACGCTGGGTTCTGGCCTTGCTGACGGAGAGAAATTGCCTAACGGTCTAACCGTCACCACGGCAACGAGCTGCCCTTCGGCTCAGGAAGACGTGTCCCTGTCTCCCCCCTCTGACACCTTGG